AAATTAACAGGAGATAACTGATAACTGACATCCATCAAACATGGCACGTGGAACTAGAACGGTCTAGGGTTCAGTTCGACATTACAACCATCTGAAGAAGGCCGGAGCGTACAACGACCGAAACGTTGTGATAAATATGGCGACAAAGATGAGGACAATAGTCCGAATAATGTAAATAATGTACATAATACCTCATCTCAGAAATATAGACAGACATTGTAAATTTTATATACTCCAACAACAAAGGCATCCCAATTCATAATTGGTTATGTCCGTGGGTTTGCTTACAAACAAAAAGAAAATCAGAGTAAATGGTACGAGACTGAAGCAAAATAATTAACAATGTCTTAGTTCAAAATTAGTTAAAACAAGATAAATTTCATAATAGAGACAAAAAAAAGACGTCACAGAATTACGTTTATTCTTTTTATTATTAAGGATTTCCAATGAAATACTGAACTATACAAATAGAATTCCTCATAAAATACAAAATTCTCATTAGTGAAACGGGATTTCTAGTTTTGAAATCTTTTAACATAGGTACCTCCAAATTTCGCAAGAAATCGCCCGATACACACTCTTTTCCCGTCTTTTGAACAGAAATAGAAGTTAAAACCTTTTTTTCTGTTTGGGGTTGGATTTCTGGCTCCTTCTTTTAAATATTCGTAACACATTGCATCTTAGTGGCATTATCGCCTTTCATGAAATTAAATGATTTAAAAAAAAATAAAATATTAAAAAACCTGCCTCTAAATTTCATTGATGAAAGCCAAAAAAAAATTCATTAAAATATTAGATTATTTCGAATATTTCATAAATTTTAAAGACTATTAGGGAGTTCAAATATTATATAAAGAAGGTGTTTACGTTATATTCGTCAAATACTTATTAGTCCTTGTCTCCCTGAGTAAAATTCCCAAACATAAGTCTATCGAGAGAGTTGTCAACATCTCGTAAAAATACCCAATTATGTGGTAAAAAAAAATGCTTGTTAAGAATTTTTCAAATTAAAAGTAAGAAATATTTGTTTCAAAACGGTTTAATTAAACTTTAAATCGATTAGTCTCCCTGAAATATAAGTTCAGAAAAGTTGATTTTATTTTTGAAAGATTTTTTTAATAAAGAGAATTGCGTTGTGTTAACAGATTTTACCTTTCTTACTGATAATAAAGAAAATCATTCCATTTCTTTTTAAATTCAATTTGAATTACAACATATAATTTTGCTTATTGGAAATATTAAATTTAAATTATTAGCTTGAAATTAAATTTAAAATAAAAGCTTCAGTAACGATTTTTAATTTGGAAAAATACATTTTAACGTTTCTGACGCAAGGACCTCAGGGGGTTAATGAAAGTAAAAAAAGGAAAGAAAAGAAAAAGGAAGAAGACAAATCTAAATTCGCTCGAAAAAGCATTGAAAAATTGAGAAAATTAAAAACGAAGCGTTGAAAAATTATGTTTCAAAAGAAATGAACTCCCAAAAGTTCCAAGGAGAATCGAACTCAAATTTAATGAAACGGAATTCAATGAGTTGAAAAAAAGCAACACTACCCGCTCTTCCCCACTTCCTACCGATATGAAAGAACAATTAATTTATCGTTGAAGATATCAAATAATTAAAAAAAAACATATGCTGTCGATAAAGAAAGCCGGGTGATCACCGAAATAACATTTAAGATTCTTCTGGACAAAAGGCCAGGAAAATCATTTGGTTTGAATCAGCCAATCAGAAGAAAATTAACTCTACGAAAATAGATATTAGCCTGATGGCTTCGTTCATTTTAATTTAGGTGACATTCGTCAAATATTTTAACTGACATTAATTCAGGTCTCTTTGGATACAAGTAATAAGGAAAAATTAATTATTGGCTTGGAGTCACCATAGGCAAAAAGGTTGTGTGTTATTGCCGAACGAGAAACACATAAACAGAGAAAGATTTTTTTTTTATTACTAAAAAGATGGTGAATATTTATCTTTTTCTTGACACACAAAACAACTCTTGAGATTGGCTGTTGGGGACACCTAGATGGGCTACAAATATGTCCCTGGATTTCGGAAATCACAGCTGATGAAGAAAGATTAATTACTGGAAATTCGCCTACGTATCTTGAAAGATGTTTGGATTCATCACAAGGCCGGTGAGCCAGCACTTGGAGTGAGCTGAAGTTTGATGCTGAGAAAGTGCTAGAAGGAAGAGATAGAGATAAACACCACACATGGAGTTATGGTGCGAGATGAGACATGCAGGAAAGTGGAGTTAAGGGTTGGCTTGATTCTTCTGACCACTCTCAAAAGCACTCAAGTAAACGCGATGGTCAAAATTTTTGATAACGTCTTTGTATAGTTGCACCTCGATCTCACCAAAATGACATTATCTCATCCTTCAGCTGTTGAATTGTTGTTGGCTTGTTGACATAGACCTTACTTTTGAAATGACCCCTAAGAAGAAATATAAAGGCGTCAAGTTGCACGATCGTGGTATCCAATGACTTTGCTGTTTCGAGAGATGATGCTACCTGGGAATTTCTCATTTAAATTCTGTTTGAACGTCCATTTTCGTAATAGGCTTTGATAACTTAATTGAAATTGCCAAAGACTTAAGTTGTTAAATCTGAAAGAAAAAGAAAAAAAAATCATTAGACGCTTAAACTTAATTCACATTTAAAATCAATTCAAGTTATTGGAACACCCTTTAGTAGTAGTAGTTGTTGTTTTTGTAGTCGTAATACTAGCTATAAGTAATACTAGTAAAAGGCGTTGAGTTCTAAACAATTTTTTCTATTGATTTTAACCATGGATCAAGTGATACTGTAATGTCTATCACTGCTGCTGCTATTATTATTATTATTATTACTATTATTATTATTATGTTGTTGTTGTTGTTGTTGTTGTTGTTTATTTCTTTTGATTCGACCTTCGATAAAATTATTTACAAAAACGTTGTCCTCAAATCAAAGAATGAAAGAAGTTGTTTTTGCTTATTTTTAGTCGCGGAAAAATTGACCTAAATTTTTATTTGTCGAATTTGACCACCAAAAAACGAGTTTCATTTTTCTCTTTTCTGCCCTAAGGAAATTACTTTCGAAATTCTTATCAGCTTTTTAATATGAAAAAAAAAAGTTAATGTTAACTCTTAAAATGCATTCTAGAGTTCAACTTAAATAACCTTCACTAATTAATATTTAAGCATTTGTTGATTTTTTATCACATTACATAACAAGTGAGTGTGTACGTGAATTTTTTAAAGTTCCAAATGGATTCAACTTTCAAATGCTTTCAAATTTTATATTTATTGAAAAACATTTTAGTTTTTATTGCTTTTGGACAAATTTACAGAAATACGTTAAAGTCTTGGCAAATGGCTGAAGAACAAATCTACAGATAAACAATAATAATAATAATCATAGCAGCAGCACTGATGGAAATTACAGAGGCTTGGTGCCACTTGATCTGTAGTAAAAGTGAACAGAAATTATTGTTTTAAAACTCTTGTGTCATCTTAATTTATAAGAATATCAACTCGATCATTATGCCACTGTTCGATGACAACAACATTTTCAATATAATTGATGTGAAAGGTTTTTAAAGGGTCACGAATGACGAAAGGTCAATGATTTTCATTTCATCTTAATAAGACTTTGCTACGCCATTAAACTTGTTTTTAACTTCGAGAATCCAATTGACACGTCATGGGGAACGAATATATATATCCGGGTCTAATATGCAATTTAGATAGGATATATATGCTTTGTGTGTGTGTGTGTGTGTGTGTGTGTGTGTGTGTCTTTATCTGTCTCTAGAGGCTAAAAATCACATACGAAAAACAATGAATTTTTGTAAGTCGTGGAATTAAGATGATGGTTGTGTTTGGTTTTGTGAATTTAAAATTTCTAATGTTTCTTATTTTTGCTGTTTTCAGAGATTAAAGTACATGGAATTCATTAATTTATATTTCAAGTTACTTATATTTGCAACATGGCTAAATTAGATTTTTATCAAGATTTTAATTCATTTTCAGTCTTTTGTTGATAAGTTTTCGTTTCTTTTTTTTTTTTTTTCGTGTCTCCAACATTATTACTCAGACCAGGGTAGAGGCTGTTCAGCCTGAGTGGAAGGAAAAAGCATTATTCTTCCAGTGTCTTGTTTCGGACACAGTCAAATTGGGTGTGTGCTTGTCCGTGTGTTTTATATATATGTGAATTGATTAATTCACTCTAAAAAAAGAGTCTACTGGCAGTGAAAAAGAACGAAAAGAGCTTTAGAAAGTAGGAGTATGAACCGGGCGCTAGTGTGTATGTGTATTAATCTGTAGACAGATTAATAGATAGATAGATATAAATATAAATATAGATAGATAGATAGATAGATAGATAGATATACATGAATAGCCTAATATATATATATATGTAACAGTATAGACAGAGGTGAACGGACTAATATATATATATGTATATCTGTTTAGAATATATATATATATATATATATATATATATTTTGTGTATATATATATATATATATATATATATATATATATATATATATATATATATATATATATATAAATAGATAGATAGATAGATATAAATATAAATACAGATAGATAGATAGATATGGATAAACTAAAATATATATATCTGTATATCGATATATAGATATGAATAGAACAATATATATCTGCCGATAGATAGATAGAAATAGACTAAATATATATATATATATATATATATATATATATATATATATATATATAGATAGATAGATAGATAGATAGATAGATAGTTTAATTCTTTCCATTCAAATGACACCAGCGATTTGAAAAGAAAAGAAAGAAAAACGAAGAATCCCCCCTCCCACTCTTTCATAATACCTTACCTTTTTCTCCTTCACTTACCCGCTCCATACTTTCCCACCCTTGTTTATCTTCAGAAACACCCTTTAGTCAAGTGGTGTGATTATTCTCGTCCAATGAAATGCCTTAAACTCCAATGACGTCACAGCGTTTTCCCGCTGGATTCACTTTGCGCGAAACAACACCAAGAAGAAGACTTTTTTTTTGGTTTCCGAAATTCAAAGAAAAACTAATTTCCCTGAAGTGAAATCGAAACAAAATCAAATGTAAGTCAGAATTTTCATATCGATTTTCAAATAATCGAAATGTTTTCATCAATACAACGAGAATTCTTGCATTTATTTTATTTTCTCTTTTCCTACTTTCATTTTTTAAACGAATTCATATTTAGAAATAAATTTTTTCTTGTTATCTTTTTTTTCTCTCTCCGTATAATTTTTAAAAAATGTCTGATTCGGATTTTGTGGTAAAATAAATTCGTTTTTAGTTAATATTTCTGATAAAGTTTTTCTAATGATATCAGAAAGATTAAAGATGACGTTTATTTCTGTTTATTTATGTCGTCTGCTTATTTCTTTTCTTTCAATCATCGAATTTGTTTTCTTTTGCTTTCTTCTTCCTTTACTTCGTTTTTAGACAGTTTGTAATATTTCCGAAAACTTAATTTCCTTCTTGGCACTACTTAAATATATTGGTCTATTTGTAATAAAATAGTGCGACATTTTTGCGTGGAATTATTTTTTGTAGATTAAAAAAATTCATTGGATTTAGGTACCTCCATTAGGTTACGTAAAAAAGCAGCATATCACGATGAGGCTCATAAATCAACAAAAACAAAGTTTGTCTCAATATGTTGTTATTAATTGAAAGCTAAATCATTAAATTTATTACTTACAGTAAGTAACATATTCTGATGTCTTTCAGAGAGAAATTATATAGATTGGAATGTCGATTTTTGTTTAATTTTCTTAAAGCGGCCATTTTCTTAAATTTTAAGAAATTTGTAAACAAAAACAAAATTTTGATTTTAAACTTCTTCCTAAAATAAATTTATATATTTTTGACATGTTATTTGAGTAAAATTAGAAAATTTAAAGTTAAATTAATCTGATATGAAACAAACTTATAGCAAAAAAAATTTGTATCCAAACATTTCTTAACGAAATGAATTTATCAAAGAAATCGATTGTGACGAGGTGATGACAGATTACTATGGATGATCAAAATTGACAATTTTTGCAAAGTAAGCGAACAAGGTTTTTCGTTCTTAACTCGTACTTTTTAAATACAAATATTTTTATTCAGCAGTTATATAATATCTATTTTTTATTTCATACTTTCTTAATTAGATAATTGTTCAAAGTTTTTTATTAATTAGATAATTGTTTAAAGTTTTAAGGATTATGTCATGTATACATTTCCATACGTAGAAATTATGAACGTATTTTACAATAAAATTTAAAAAAAAAAATATTTTAAAAATATTTGGGGACAAACGACTGTTATGTGCTTTTCAAATTTCGATTCGTAAATTTACTTTTTCATTAACGTTATCATTGCATTACGTGCTTAAAAGCAATAAAGAATTTTAAACGATTTTTGAAGTTAATGAAAAAAAATTAAAAAATGGAAAAAAAATTGTAAAAAATACATTATTCATCGAAAAAATGTTATTTCTTCACAAAATAATGTCCTTAATATAACATATTTACAAAAACAGGTTAAAGCTTTTCTAATTAATGTCATACTTTTTTACATTTTTTTTATAATTCAAAGCAGATTTTCTATGAAACCAGTAACTGTTTTACAAAAAAGAAAACAAAAAAAAACAAAAAAACAACAAAAAAACTGGTGATTTACTTTCTATAAAGAGTCCTGTTTATAACTAATAAAACAAATCCCGCGCGTAAAGATTTCATTTCTCGAAATTTCATGAAAATATGTAAGTGGGTGGAAACGTGTTAAAAAAATCTCTTTTTAACAAGATTTTCTAACAAAAAAAAAAAAAAAAATTCAAATATAATTTCATTCATTTCTGAATAAGTCCTCAAAGTTTTATTAAAATCCGACAATTATTTGAGTTTTGCAAGAAATTCCTAAATTAACGTGTGTTTTCCTCGAGAAAAGCGCAAAATAAAACAAACCTCCTGTTTCTTCTTTTTTTCTTCATTAAACAAAGTTTTTGTAATAAAATAATAAACATTTAAAAAAATGTCTAATGTGTAAACGTCAGAGATCGATTTTATTTTTACACTTTATCGATATTATAAACAGGACCCCCTTTTTTCTGACAATCGTCGTGGCTTGAAAGTCTAATTAATGCTAATCTACAAAGATACTTCACAGGCGCCAAAAAATGACCCCATAAAAAAATAAATAATAATTAATAATCAGTGGACCATTTTATTTAAATTGTGTTCAATTTTGTCGGTATAAAAAAAAATCGTTTCGTAAGCAGACGACAAAAAACCGCCATTTGTGAAATTTCTTAAAGCGTGTCCGGTGAAAGAAACACTGAAGCAATTTAATTAACAACTTAATGTTAAAAGTGATTGTGAAGGCAGCATATTGGTGAGTCTCTGTCTCTGTCTCTGTCTGTCTGTCTGTCTGTCTGTCTCTCTCTCTCTCTCTCTCATTACTCTTCTATCTTCCTCTCATTTCTGCATCGATAACCACTTTCTCATTTGTTTCTTTTGATTTCGCTCATTTTCACCCTTTGAATGCTTTGCATTCGTTCAGTAAGCAGCACAACAACGCTTGTCAAGTTTTCTGACTGAATATCGCCACATTTTCAAAATTTTCTTTTCAATTTTAAAATATAAACAACTTTTCCTTTTTCTTTCAGTGTGAGACAAACTGCAAATATTTCCTTTTTTTATTATTTTATATTCAATTTTAGACACGAAAACAGCGCAATGGATTTGATTCTCATATAAAAATATTTTGATCATAACTGATACACCTGTTTAAAACGCTTGGTTTATTTTTGTCATATGAAAAACATGCGGCGAAAAAAAGAATGTTATTTGCTAAGTGTTGCTGTCATCACCCCAGGTCTTAAAAAAACAAAACACAACACATCAAACCATTATTATTGTTGATCCCAGTGTTGACTGCCCCCTTTTTTTCACTCTTTGTTCTTATCTGAGAGTGGTGGGTTTTTACAAAACGTTTATATTGCTAGCAGGCTGGCCTTTGTCCTAAATATATCAAAGTCAATTTGGCTTAATTTTTCCTTATCGCTGCTATTTTTTTTGAGAAAAAATGACACTCCTGGTTTCTGTTGGTTAGGAATTGCAGATAAAACTTTCGCCTTTTACTAAAGATTTCCGTGGCCAGGTGTCAAATTACCGCCCCCCCCCGGCCATATAATTGAAATTACCAATGAACTTTGTTGCATTTTGACCCCCCAAGGAAAGTTGTTTCCTTTCAAACTCAATTTTAATGCCTGATATTTTGTTTGATTATGATTTAGGCTTTCTGATTTTCCAAAAATAAAAATGGTTAATATCCCTCTCCCTCAAACCTCAAACGTAAGGTAAAAAAAAAAAAAAAAATTGGAAGTGTATTTTATACACTAACCAGGTTCACTTAAAACTAGAACGAAATATATCACTTCTGCCTTACCGTCCGATAAATTCCCTTGACGTACATCAGTTTACACCTCTCAAACACGCGCAAAAGCAAGCACCACTGTTGGAAATGTCTCTCTTAAAAAATTTTCTTATAAAAAAGTAAGTAATGTTTCTTTCAAATTACATTAAGTATACTTTAAATTTTCTAATTTTCCAAAAATAACAAAAGATAAGGGTGTAACTGAATTTTACAGGATTTTTAAACTAACTAATTTTGATTTTGTTACAAAGTCGGACAAAAAGGCCAATAAGGCCGAATTTACAAACATTTTTTGAACCAAGAAAAAACAAAATTTTTAAATAAAATTTTTAAAATTATAGGAAGGATTAAAAAATCTGAAAAAATATTCAGAAAATACTTTGGTCTTTCCTCTTTAATACTAATATAAACATTTACACGTTAAAAATTGTTTTATCAAATTAGGGACTTTTTTTCTCCAGGGTATACCACTTTTTTTAGCGATATAGGGGACTAACCTATTCTAAAATCTAAAAATATCGGGTCATTTTATTGTCGGTTTTAGAAATCGAATTTTTATGGTTTTGAATTTTGACCTCTTTTTTTTTTAAAAGACTTTTTTGTCTTTGCATTTTCAGATTTCATTTTGACTGAACGAAATCTAAAAATGGCTTCGTCGTCTTTGAAGAATGAGAAAAAACGCGTCCGCGACCTGCAGATTGAACGGACGAAGCAATCGATTGAACAATTATCAATCGATTGCGAATCTAACAGTTCAAAAGTCTGGCAGGAATTTAATGCGTTTAGGAAAGCGGCACAGAAGAAGGCCGAAGAATTGTGCTGCGAAATGGAACGAAAGACGACTGAAGAACAGAGCAAATGGAAGCAATCCGTCCAAGAGAAAGAAAACCTCTTGGAGAAGGCGGCAAAATGGCTCATCGATTTGCAACGTTTGGTAGGCGCCGACGACGATAACAAAGAGGTTGTTTCTAGGATAGAGTCGCTGAGAGCGGAGCTTTCTTCGCGGCTCCACGAATCTTTCACTCCTGTTGAGGAAGGTCATTTTGTGGTGACCTTTCCAGAATGGCGCCAACGATCATTGGAACAACTTGAAAAAGAAATGGTCGACATCACGATAGAGACATGGCACCCAGGGAAATTGAAATTGCAAAGCGAAAGCCGCCTGCAGGATTCGATCGTGTGGATTCATTCGTTTGCCGTCAGCGACGAAGACGATCACGTCTTTGTTGTCGATGGGAATAACGATTTGATCAAAGAATTCGGCGAGACTGGGGAATTCGTCAACCAAAGTCTCTTTAAGAACGAAGGAAAGAAATTCTTTCTCAAGGACATTTGTCGTCTTTTCAATGATATTTTGGCTGTTTGTGGTGTTTTGTGGTCGAGAGGGTCGGTGTCGAAGGGAAGAATTTTGGTTTTGGCGCGAAATAAAAGTTCTTCATTTTTAGAAAAAGTAAAAATAATAGACACAAAAGAAATTGAATTTCATTCTTTGTGTCAAATGGACGAAAAACTTTTTGTTTGTGATTACAGTTTTAAAAAAATTCTTTGTTTTTCTAAAGAAGGAACTCAAATAAAAAGAATCCAACTTCAGAAGTCGCCAGAGTCGGGTTCTCCCCCTCTCCTTCGGGCTGACCCCAAGACAGGGAATTTGTTGGGGACAAAATGTGGAATGTCGGAAATCTTTATGTGGAATCAAAATGGACAAATTCTTCAAACCGTGAAAACTGAAAAAGAAATTTTCGATTTTTGTGGTAATGAATTTAGATATTTTTATTTTTGCAACTTGGAAGGAATTTTTTCTATTTTTCCGAAAAAGGTTCAGCACAAATTTCCGAAAAAATCTGAAAATGGTCCCAAGATTTTTGTTTCTCGAAAAAAATTCTTTATTTGTTTTCAAAACAACGGAAAAAATTTAATGAAAATTTTCAAAATTGATTAAAAAAAAAAAAAAATTATTTTTCTGTAAACAAAATAAAATTGAAATTCTTTTATTTTTTTATTTATTTTTAATGTGAATAATTTTTCGATTGGAAATTTTTGCAAATGTTTTCAATGATTTCACAATATGAATTCAAATGAATATAATGGTAGAAAAATGTTCATTTTTCGTAATATGAGTCGATGCAAATAGTCATGTAAAAAGAAAAAAATTCTTGAATAACTTTAAGAAAAAACGATGAATTTTACAAGATATTTTCGTTTGTTTCCTTTTTTCTCCGACCATCAAAGGTTGACAGAAAATGTGGAACTGAATTTAATTGAATTTTCAAATGGAAAAAAAAATTTCAAACAAAAAATTGGTGAAAATTGATCGATTTTTTAAAAATTTATTACAGAAAAAAAATGAAAATTTTTGAATTTCTGCAGAAAAATTCAATTTCTTTTTACCGAGGAATTTCTTGAATTTTTCCTTTTCTTTTCCTCTGATAACAATATGAGAAGAGTCAAATAATTAAAAAAAAGTATTTTTTTTTCTTTAGAGAAAAACTCGAAGATCGACTTAAAAATGTCTTTAAAATCCAATATTTTCAGAGAGTTGTGTTTCAAAGTCTGTTAATAAATTTACAGATTAATTAATTGCATTTTCTTAACGTAATGTTTACATTTACTTCAACTAGAATTACAATAACGTATTATTTACGTATGATAACCTGTCGGGGTCAAATGGTACAACAAAAGTTAATTCCAATCACGCCCAAAAAGGCGCGCGTAAAAGTAAAAATAGAAACCTAAAGAAATACGACAGACCAGCAGTGACATAATCAATAGTTTCTTATTGTTTTTAAAATAAATTTTTTTAACCAATAATTTAAAAATATAATTTTTTTCTATACAATATTTTATTAAATTTAAGATAATGAATAAATTTGAAGGCAGTAAGTCGCTCCCTAAAGAAAAATATAACGAAAATTTAATTTGCGTTCAATTAACGTGAAAAGAAAAGCATTTATTCCATGTGTAAATTTTGAGAAAAATGAAAATATAAAATATTGTTTTCTGCGAATAAATTAGTTTCGTCGAAATTATGAAATTTTTCTAGGTTGCTAATAGAAGAAATTATGCGAGAAAAAATAAGGTAAAGATTTGTTTTTTAAATAATAAAGAATCGTAGAAGGAATGTATTTGATAAGCCTGAAAACTACCCGAGCTGAGATAGAAATATCACAATGCTTGTTCTCTGTCAGGTGAAAAAAGTTAGTAACGACGGCTACTGGTCCGGATAAAATCTATGTAGTTGTTCTCAAGAACATTGGCCTAAAACTATCTTCAATCTTGGCAAAACTCTTTAACAGCGGCCCGAAGACAAAATGTGCCCCAAACCCATGAGAAGGTGTTAACTTTTTGAAGGTATCATTAACAAGAAAGTAATTCAGCCCTTCAACTTGAGAAAATTGTCAAGATATATTTACATTAAATATGAATATATGTTTCACTGGACATAAAGTCGGGGGGGTTTCTCTATTGTTAATAAGTAATAAACTGATCCCCCTCCTAGAATTATTACATTATTCACCAACAAATGATGGGAAAACTGACAAGATTTACATTTATCTGAAGGAAGGAACAAATAGACAGACATTGTAAATTTTATATACTCCAACAACAAAAGCATCCCAATTCATAATTGGTTATGTCCGTGGGTTTGCTTAAAAACGAAAAGAAAATCAGAGTAAATGGTACGAAACTGGAGCAAAATAATTAACAATGTCTTAGTTCAAAATTAGTTAAAACAAGATAAATTTCATAATAGAGACAAAAAAGGACGTCACAGAATTACGTTTATTCTTTTTATTATTAAGGACTAGCAGTAGAGCCCGGCGTTGCCCGGGGATGTAACAGTAAGAGATAGATCAAGTATCGACCATCATAAAGACTGGAAAATAAAATTGACAAAGATTATTGTTTAAGGTTGACGGACACGCATGTCTTGATTAGTTTTTTTTTTTTTACGAATTGGTCAAACCCAAACTCAAACAAAAACATTGTTTTCAATCGTTATGAGTCTATCGTTTGGTGAATAGAATTTTATTATAAACAATTGTCTTGTAAATGGAATTTTTAAAGCATTCTGAATGTAAATAAAAAAAAAAAAGTGTGCAAGACAATAAGAAATACTACCAAAAAAAAAAAAAGTGGATGTTTGTTTTATCGGCTGAAAAATGTAAGAAATCCGATCCCATATATAAAGGAACACACACACACACGCGCGCGCACACACACACGCGCGCGCGCACACACACACACACACACACACACAACCTGGGTTTTTTAACCTAAGTCACTCCACGGAATCGCTAAAATATAGAGCATAGTCTGATGAAAAAGACGCCAAAGTTTATGAAAACAAAATTTTATCGTCAAAATGCTTATTTTTTTATGAAGAGGATAGACTAAATTTTTTTTTAATTATTTTTTAAAAATGTTTCCATCTTTTTAGAATATTCTAAATTTTGATTTAAAAAACCTTGTTTCTCTTTGTCGCAACAAGAAATAGCAAATAACATAGACAATTTTTAGCGCATTTTTTTGTATTTACACACATTAATTTGGAAAATCTTGCAAAAATAAAAATAATTGTCAGATATTAATGAAACTTTCAGAAACTATTCACAGATGATCGAAATTATTATAAATATGTTTTTTTTTTTTTTTTTATTAAAGTCATGGCAGAAATATTTTTTTTTATATTTATTAACACCCCCATAACTAATTTTATGAAAAACTCTAGAAATTCGAGACCATCGGTTTTAGTGATTACAATAGTTAAAAGCACAAGGCTTTGAAGAATGCAAATCATGTTTTTTTTTTTTTTTTTTTTTGGCCAACGTATCTGAAAATCAGCTGTGAATTGTAACATACAAAACTCAATAAAACAAATATATTATTTAGTTTCAAATGCTTTTATTTGTTTTAATTTGTTTTTATGAATATGGACAATATTTTCTGAAAGCAAAAAATTTTTTTCAATGAAAATTGAATTTTTAATACAATTATTTCTTATTTCTTTAATTTTAAAAAGATTTTAAAAAATGTTTAAATTGAATTTTAAAAAATATTTTAACATTAGTTAAAAGCAACATCAACCTTTCAAAATGTCCGTGTGAGATTGTCATTGTCTAGCGCTTTGAAAATTGTATAATTTGGACCAATCAGATTAGCCATGGTAATTAAGAAATGTAATTTTTGTGTTTATAGTCGGACAGTAATTATCAAGTACGGAAGACCAACCAGAATACAATTTAGTTGCATTATTTGAGTTCAGCATTGTTCTCCGCTGTTAAGCCCTTTACTTTTGCGAAACACGTATGGAGAAGTTAATTTGAGTTTTCAATTTCAACTGAGAAGGGTACCTACAAGTAACAGTATCATCTTATGAAATTTAACTACTGCTAAACTTTAATTTATATGATCTTATTTTTATATTAATCTCAGTTATGGCATTTTTCCATAAATGAAATATCAAAATTAATAATAAAATGAATGGAAATACAAATAACAGTAAAATGTAATAAATGTACATAAAATTATAGTATTTTATGTACACTTCTGATAAAATTTCATAAGAAAGGTACCTAAATTAATTAGATACCTTTTTTCTTATGAAATTTAATCTCACTATTAACAGTCTTATTTTTTAATTTCTTTATATTTTCCATAAAGCATCGTAAAAAAAAAAAAATGAACAAAAAGTAAAAAAAAAAAAAAAAAAATTAGAGCGCTGAAAGTTTTCCTTAAAAGTAACAAGGTAAATAATTTGTTCACTTAAATAATTTCACTTCCTTCCATCCGTAGAAAGAATTCTCCTCCCGTAAGTTATCTAAACTTCATGAATGTGCCTTTCGTCAATCGTCAAGCGACGCGAAAGGTTATGACCTGCTTTGTTTTATTTTCAAATTACATTTTTTCGGCGCAGTAGCTAAGTTAAGATTGGTTCAAAATATTTTAAATAAACAGTATAATATCTGTTTTTATTAAAATCAGTTTTGAAAAATGATAATTGACTTTTAAAAGAATATCAAAGTAAGATTTTAATCTTTTTATCAAATCGAAAAAATGATTGAAAATGATTATCTGCCCTTTTTTTTTTTGACGAAAAAAAAACAATATATTTAACGAAAATTTCAGACGTGCTAGGAACGATTAAAAAATGTAAAAAAATACCCCCAAAATACTTTGATCTTTCCTCTTTAATAATAATATGAACATTAGACGATAAAATTTTGTTTTCGTCAAGTTCGGCGTCTTTTTCATCATGCTATGCTCTTTTGTTTACATTTTCGTGGGTGAGTTATCCCCCTTTCATTCTCACGATGTGTCTTATTGTGTTGTTTCAGAGCTAAAATTGGGGTTCACGCGTATGAAAATTTTACACGAAATTTATGATT